GAACCAGGTGGGTAGTACACCTGGGTGGGCTCAAACTAGGCCAGGTGAGCTTAATTCAGCCAATGAGGTCAACCAGTACTGTCGACTACGCCTCCCAGCCGAAGGCCCCAAAAGGCTGGAATGTGGAGACCACCGCCCTCTTTTTTTCCAGCTGCTCCTTGGCGGTGCAGTGGTCTCCCTCTTCTCTCTTCTCTCTCCCTCCTCCTCCCTCCCTCCCCACCACCCAGGCCGCCATGTGGAGGTGTGCAATTCCATGAGGGTGCCTGTGTTCAGTTAACTGTAACGCCGGAAACTTCTTCCATCTTTTATAAAAACCCACTTGAATCACAAACCAGGCTTCGGAGTGAATTTCTTTCTCATTCCACGATGCCAAGAACCAAGGTATTTCCCACCCGAGAAATCTAACAAGCCCCGGGCAGAACCCCACAAGGAGAGAGTATTCCAGCACTGAGGTGATGTAACCGCCCTGCAGAGCCCTGAAATCGGGGAATCCAGCGGAGGAACATCACTATACGTGAGGTGGGAGACTCGCCCAGCCCCTTTGCCTCCACTGCCCAGCAAACAAAATGGGAAGAACCACTCCTATCTCCCAAGCTGTTACAGACAAAAGGAGTGGACACATCCCTGCAAGGACACCACGCTCTGGCTTCCTTCTGTCGTGTCCTCTCAAGCCTCCCCCCACGCTCCCTCCGTTAAGAAGGCTCTATAAAACCCCCCTGCTTCCAGAAAGCAGCGATAAGACATAAAGGGAGGAATTCAGTAAGGCAGAGCCGGAGATAAGCATCAAGGGCAACAGCACAAAGAGCCTCGGCCATGGGCCGGGGTGGAGAGTGTGGTGTCAGAAGTGGCTCTGCAAGGGGAGAGGAGACAGAATGCTCCAGGCAGGATGGGAGAAGTCAGCCAGGATCCCTGCCTGAAGCCCCTCCACACCCCCCAAAGACAGGCAAATCATGAAGACAAGGTAAAACATTGGAGGCATGAATGGGAGAGCTCTGGGAGGCAGATGCAAAAGGAGGAAAGGAGAAAATGCTGAGAGAAAGGAGGCAATTGGAAGGAAGGAAACTCCCCTCTCAAAACCCGCTCCCAAACCAAAACTCCAAAGCACCCAAGATATTGAGAAAACCCGCCCACAAAACCATCCCAGAGAGGTGGGTGACTCCCGAGGAAACAAAAGAAAACACCGTGAACCAAGCTGATCAAGACTGGTATCGGAATGCTCATTAGAAAGCTCAGAGAACATGCACTTTCCCATTACTGACCTCATCCAGGAGCCCTGGTGGTGTCATGGGCTACCCACTGAACTGCGAACTACAAGGCCAGCAGTTCAAAGCCACCTGTTGCTCCTGGGGAGAAAGATGAGGCTGAGTGCTCCCATAGAGATTTAAAAGTCTCAGAAGCCCTGGAGAAAAGTTCTGCTCTGTCCCATGGGACTGCTATGAGTCAAGGCAACTTGGTGGCAGTGCATTTGGTTAGAGAAATCTCATCCATCCTCAGCACAGCTCTGCAAGGTGCTGTTTCTAGCCTCTATTTTACAGTCAAGGAGATAAGAGCCCACAGTCACGTAAACATTAAGAGGCACCAGGGCAAGGACTCAACTAAACCAGGTTGTACCCCCTTCATCTGCAGAGGTTCGGGTCCTCCTGGACTCCCCCCACATCTCCAGAAGGCTCTGAGGAGTAGTCTGCTCTTCTTCCCAAGAGTCTAGACTCTGCTCAACAAAGCAAGAAACAATACCCGGGGATCCCCACCTGGTACCTGTGTCATGTGATGCTCTTAACAACAGAGCTGTATCATCAACAGCACTCTCCTGCCTGTCACCCCCAGCAGACTGACAGCTCTTTGGGAAAAAGCCCAAGGCTTAGCCACCATCGCATCCCAAACACTGAGAATAGTATGGATTAAAGTGTGCCCCCCTAAAAGGATACACCGGAATCCAAATCCCCAGTGCCCCTGAATGTGACTCCAGTTGGCAGCACAGGCTCTGAAGATGGTCTCAGTGAATAAGAGGTCATGTTAACTGAGTAAGGTGTGTCCGAACCCCATACCAGAGACTAGGAGGCAGAGAGGCAGGAGGAAGGCAGCCAGGTGATCACAGAGGCAGACGTAACTGCAAGGAAAGGATTGCCAGGAGCCACCTGACGCTAAGAGGGAGGCACTGTTCCTCTCTGAGCCCTCAAAAGAACCAACATGACATCAGACTTGTCGTCTCCAGCACTATGAGACTATACATGTTCTTATGAGCCTCCCGGTTTGTGGCACTTCA